TTAATTTAAACACAAGTATCAAGAGCTAAAAAATTACGTCCCGATATGAGGAACTTTTTTGGTTATAAAATCAGAATCTCCCAGTAAACAACTCATAAAACACGACAAAGAAGTATACACATTATGGCAATGGTGTGGACGAATTTCGGTACTAATAAAATGCAAAACGTCTTCAGTATTCTACTAATAAACTAGCAGCAAGTACGCATGGGATGTTTTTGGACAATGTTCCAGAAGATAATGTATGCATGGAGTACCATTTCGGTGCTATGATGATGCCGTTATGAGACAGTAACATCTTATTGAAGACATAAAACATCCATTAAGTTGCCTAAAATCTAGTAAGGCATCCTGTACTAGATGCCATTTCGCCATTCAAAAGCAATTTCTTATAAACAAGAAAACCAAAGTGTATAGAAAATTGCGCTTCACAAATCGAAAAACGGATTTCACGATTTCTGCCCATCCGATGGTACGTAGCTCGACGTTAAAGCTTGTAAACAATTGACTTACTGGAAAGGTAGAAACGACACATTCAGTGTATCCGCAGCAGGATTTAGGGATTGGTTTATGGCCGTAGTCACTTGGACCCGTATAACCACAACAATGGAACTAATGCACAAAGAAAACCCGTAAACATCAGGCGCTTTTAGCTACTGCACCCACAACGACAATCAAAAGCATATAGAAGAAGCTCACAAAGTTCGTATTAAAATTCTACTAATGTAAGGTTATTAGTAAGTCCTTGCATGTTGCTAGATGGGGTTTTACAGGGAACTTATGTAGTTAAAATGTAGAAATCCAGGTGTTAGCCATGGGCTCATGTAACTTACAGTGGCTTGCACAAGATCTAGGGAAGTTAATTTTTCAGTAGGTTGGTAGTCCTCAACAGCTTTTTTCAGATACATGAGAATGTATGTTCGCACCTACATAAATGTGGATAAACGAACGCAAAGAATCTCAAAGCTAAATAATTAACAAATCAAACATAAATACTGAGAACAAAAGTGAGGGTACCTCGTCTTTAAAAATGACACCAGCGATGCCAGTAGCGACTTCGGCAGCAAAAACGAACAAAAGGAATGTGAAATACATTCCAAGACAGCATCTGTTGTATCGAAGTGCACCCCAGCAACCACATACTGCGAGGAACACCGGAACGATCCCCAAGATTGTTAATCCAATGCATGGATAAGCCAGGATACTTAATTCCCCAGAAGCGCTGCTAACGTATCCCGAGACCAGGAGATAGATCCCCAATCCGACAATGGCGAGGCCAATAAGCTAAATGAAATGCAAAATAGCACAGAGACATACATAATAAATAATGCAAGCAAGTAAAAGAGCGTGGACATAGCAGCGAATTAGATGCATGCCAGTAAGAAAGTGGCATTGCGCAACTGTGCAGGCCGTGACTATGCGTGGGCGTTCAGACGTCCAATTAAAGTAAACATCAACAAACGACGCAAATCAATGGAAATCGAGGTAATACTAACTCCTATGATTCACCTAACGAGTGACGATACAAATATTATAACATCTCAAAGAGGTCAAGCAATGCTGTCAGGTTCAAAAGTATGCTAGTGTACATTGTGCTGGAACAACGTACTCACAAGATCATCAAGGACAACTTGTAAAGATAACGAACACTGCAAAATCACCTCATTAGGAAAAATAAAGTGGAATGGCCAACTAATCAGGAACTATTTATTTAAGGGGCATGCACCTAAGGAGTTGCGTACGATGAGTGAAAACAGTAAGAATCCTTGCCATTCGCACCTTTTGCTACTAAGACGTGAAAAGTTACTAGAGAACCACCACTAAACTCTTCGAATACAAGGTGTCAGCTGTAGGAATTCACAGAAAGGTAGGACAGGAGCAACGATTGGTCAACTTTAAGCACTTGATTTCATCCACAATATTCGCAAAAATCGGAATTAACTTAAATGTTGGCTACATCCATTGCATATCAATAGAAGCACTAACAAAAATGGAAGCAATTAGTGGAGCTTCTATAATCACAGAGATAAACACGTACAAGGAGACAGATTAAAATAGTAAAAAATCAGAGAGCCATTACTGATTAAAAAGATTAAACTTACAATAAATAAGAAGTTGAAGAATATCATCAGTGCCCTGATACATCCGGCACATGTTTTCGACATCCCAAGAAATCTACAACTTAGCCCAGCCCTGTTCGTAATGACGCCAAAGACCTATGTATGCAAGCTAACTTAAAGTGTAGCTAAAAGATTAATAAGAAATAAAATTAACTGACATTTCAACTACTCACGCAAACAGAGAATTGTCTTATAAGAGTAGAAATCAATATAATTGAGACTAGAGGATTCAGAATCAAGGTAGTCGCTATTGTCTATGGCAAATGTTCCTACATTTGCAATTACTATGCTTGCTGAGCAAGAAAATTTGATTCACAACTATCCTTAATGGGTCTTTAGCAGCCACTCTACCTGTAGCTTGCACATTCCTTACGCCACCCAGCAGAAATCTGAAGGACTGCCCTTTGTGACTGGGTTCCGCCTACAGCTGCCACCAAATTAGCGCAACAGCTTTCACCTGCAGACCAAATGAGACATTATAATGGCGAGGAATGTGTATTGTCGGCATGCATAAGGATTAAGGGAGGTCT